GAACCATTGCGTACCAGGGGACGTGGGATGACCTGAAGCAGAACCCCAAGTACGCCTCACTGAAAGTTAATATTGTTGATTCAAAGAACGATACGGTCGTGAAGCAGCCCCAAGTGGACAAGACCGTGCAGAGCCAGAATTTGAAGATGGCCGAGGCTGTTTCTGATCTCAGCAGAGCAACGGGAGACATCTCTCTCTATGGTATGTTGCACTTTTATTCGCCTTTTGAATGCTAACTCAGCCATCTCCCCTCAGGATACTATTTCCGGGCTGTAGGCTTTCGTCATATCCTACTACTTCTCGCTTGCACCTCAACATATTCTTTCTTCGTAACTTTCCCTCAGTACTGGTTGCAAAAGTGGACGGAGGCACCAGTATCCCAGACAACATTCTATATTTGTGGCTACCTCATCTCATCTTTACTAGCATGGCTCGCTACAAGCGGAACGATGTGGTGAGTACGAATAGTTCAGGTCGCTGACTCTGATACTAACTTAGTTAAAGGTCAACCCAAATCCTGATCGCACCCGCTTCCGGCACTGAGCTACATCGCCGCCTACTCTCAACTATCATCGGGTTCGTGCAATCCCACTAACTTCATCTGCTGCCACCTACACCTACTGACCAAACTTAGTGCCCCACTGTCGTATTTCTCAAAGACTGATATGGGAGTTACATTGAATCAGTTGGTCGCAACGCCTACCGAATGAGCCATATCATTTGCTAAGTCTTTACAGTTTCAGTCAGGATATACAACTGGTGGATAAGCAGTTGCCGCCAGCCATCATGTCCATGTCGAATCGTAAGCCTTCCTGACCCAACACTCACTCCTCCTAACTCATATTTGGTTACAGAGGTCTTCAAGCTGCTCGTACAGGTGGTTTTGTTATTCAGCACACAAAAGCTGCTGGCTCTGTCGCTTCCCCTTTGCGCCGCGGTCGTGTATCTCGTGCAGCGGGTGTACTTACGCACCTCGCGACAATTGCGTCTGCTAGATCTCGAGTCGCAGTCGGCAGTCTACTCGAGCTTCCTCGAATCAGTACCGCTTCCCTCTCCCCTTCTGGCTAAGCACGTTGTGGCTGACAACGACATAGGTTGAAGGCGTCACGACTATCCGAGCTTTTGGTTGGGAGAAACAAGCCGAGCATGCCAACGTGGTCTGTCTTGATAAGTCGCAGAAGCCAGCATATATCCTCTTCTGTCTACAACAGTGGCTGGGCATCGTTCTGGATCTCATGGTTGCTGCGATTGCCACAGGCCTCATCACACTTGCAGTTTTTGTGAGGGGAACGACGACGGCCGGTCAGATTGGTATGGCGTTGAATATTGTGTTGGCTGCGAACGCGACGCTTCTTAGCCTCGTGACATCTTGGACGAATATGGAGATTTCCCTAGGTGCCATGTATACTTTCTCTTCCTCCTTGTCTTCCTGGTTGATTTACTGACGGCTTGGCAGATCTCGCTTGAAGACCTTGGAGGCCGATACGCCGAAAGAGGAACAGCCCCACGAGGACTTTGTTCCCACGGAGGCGTGGCCGTCATCTGGATCAGTCGAGTTCGACAAGGTCACCGTTTCGTATAAGTAAGACAACTATTAACAGTACGGTCGCCTCTGTAGACTGACTCTCTCTGCAGCCCCGACGCAGTGGCTTTACAAGACGTTACCCTGAAGGCCTCTCCAGGCCAGCAATTGATCGTTTGCGGTCGAACGGGCAGGTATGCTGCACATGGCTGCATCCATAGATCATATTCCGATATCTGCTGACGCGTTGGACAAACAGCGGCAAAAGCACCCTACTCCTCACCCTCCTACGTCTTCTTGACACGGATGCTGGAAGCATCAGGATTGACGGGGTCGATCTACGTCTCGTGCCACGTTCTCTAATTCGACAGAAGTGCTTCATCACGGTTTCCCAAGAGTCATTCATTCTGGGACATGCCAGTCTCCGCTTCAACCTCGATGTGCGATTCTCTGTTCAATATTCGTGAGAGATCCCCGCTGACCTACCAACTACCCAGCCCTCAACTTCTCTCCCAGATGAAGCCATCATCTCAGCCCTCGAGAGGGTCGGCCTTCTGTCACACTTCTACCTACAAAACACTTCATCTGGAGAGGAAACTCGCAACACTCTAGACAGCCCACTATCCTCTCTGCCACAAATGTCCACCGGTCAATCGCAGCTGTTCGCACTAGCTAGAGCGCTCGTACAACTCAAATCCATCAACCACCCGCCCGAATCATCAGCAAACGGAACTGAATGCCGACACATCATGCCGATTCTTCTGTTTGATGAAGCCACATCCTCGCTCGATACCGAGACTGAATCTGTCACACGCGACATCATACGCCAGGAGTTCACAGACAAGGGCCATACCGTAATAGCAATCACGCATAGGCTGGGCGGCGTGACGGAAGGCTTGCGGCCAGGACAGGATGCCGTGGTCTTGTTGTCCAAGGGCAAGATTGGGAAGCTTGGCGAGGCGGAGGATGTGTTGGACGCGGCGGCTTTGAAGGGGTAGCTATGCATGCGGATGGTTGTTTGACTTCTATCACTCGCTGATAGACCGTATCAATGGTTTAGGATTCGAACGAGAACGAATATTTGTTTTGTACAGACAGATGATGTCTCTCGATGATTCCCCTCGCATCCTCTCTCCATTGTACACACATTTGCGTAACGATCCTCGAGCGACTTTCAACGCGGCGCCTTCTCCACACCAGGCCGCATTGACCAGCGATCCCACGTCGAGTGAGTTACAGTGCTGAGCCAAAGACCCAGAAGGAGCAGAAGTGGCGTTGTGGCGATTGTAAACGCAGTAAACGCAGGGGTCTTTTCGCCATCCCTCAGCGCCGCCGTTATCAGACATGCGGCAACAACGCTGATTCACAAAGAGCATGAATGTTGGAGCAGATAAGACGGGACGATTCAGCTGGCAGACTATGTGGCGAGTACCTACCTGCTTCAAGTACAAAACTACTGGGACCAAAGACTACTCTGCCCTGAGACATAATTATGGGCGCATAGTGTAAATTTGACATTGGTTCATGTCCGAAATGCCGTCCAAGATGCCACAGCGACTGTCAATCGCATTGAAATCAGTTCTAGAAAGCAACACTACTCAGAAAGAGCAAAAATAACTCCTCGACGGGGAATTGAACCCCGGTCCCCTGCGAATCGTTGTCAGGGAATAATTCCCCGATGACAAGCAGATATCCTCACCACTAGACTATCGGGGAAGTGTGGATGTGAGCATCCAGTGATAGTTGGTTGGGAGCCACAGCCCACTTGGCATAGATGTAGCAAGTCTGGGGGTGGGCGACGAGGTGTGACGTGGGCTATGTGAGTTGAGGAAAGAATGTCTCTGAAAATGGAAATGTACTTTGAGATGAGACGACGAGAAGACACCGCGATCTCATGTGTTTCCTTTCATGTGTTTGAGTAGCATCTATCCTTAATTCTGTGTCTTTCATTGACGATAGAGCGGATAGCAGGCCAACACTTGACGCCTGATGAGCAAGTATAAAGTGGGGGTAGATACGTCTGGTAAGCCCTATTGAGGAGATCTTGGAAGTCTTATCCACGGGAAGATATAATCAAGCTGCTTCCATCATGGACTCTGTGGGTGTTTTGGAGGAATCCCTCGCATATATGTGTGGTAGATGACATTGGAAGAAGCTGGCGGCGACAGGCATCATATAGAGGCGAGAGACGACGCCGCCGCCACAGCAAGTTCTCCCGAACTCTCAGTTCAGAAGTATACTGTAAGAGGTTTTGGTTTTTTCTCAAAATGTTATCCCGAAGCCTACATTTCATCGTAGGAAAATCGGCCAAAGTTTACTAGGTCCCGTCCATCCCAACCATTCTACCCATCTGGAAGGTCCTGACTAACTTCTCTGCCAGCTCACCCGTTACCTTAGCCTTGGCCGCACCAGTGGATTATACGTAGACTCCCTGGCCGAGTTGCTTGACCGAATGCGCGAAACATGTACAGTTTTCGCCCTTACTTGACGGTAACAGCGCGAAATTGCCTGCAGCTGCTCCGAAGTCGTCCACCAATGCTCCGCCATACTCACATGGTTAGACGTTGTCAAAGTCAGGCTAGCAACCATCCAGTTTGAAGCAGTCCGGACATCTGCCTCATTTCTGACCAACATCCTCGTATGACGAACGGTAAACACAAGAAACAAGGCGCTAAGTTGAAGTCGATGCCGTCTACCTGAAGCTTTCCGGCAACAATGCGTCTTTCCACGGAAGGGAGCACGTAACTCTTTGCCAGAACTATATTGCCAATCGCGGAGATGTCCTCTTTCGCGCTGTTAGGAAGAACTCATAGGACTTCCTAGTAGTCCCCGATCGAGAGCCTGTCTTCTTTGTCTACAGGGCGAAGTTAGGCCCTCGACCGTGCACTCTTTTCACATACCGAGCAGATCTACTCGAGACCCAACCTTGAATAAGGTGAGACGAGCGAGTGGTTAACTACCTTATAGAATGGAGAAATAGGTAAGTGATTCCTGTCCAAGTGTATTGTACCGACAACCAGGACGAGAGATCACAGCGTGGGACCACTGGATGCATGGCCTCTCCAGGGGAAAGGTGAGTCCAAGATTGCAGATCACGGCTGTCCGATCCCTCCGAGCTGCAGCCCTGGAGTTGCCGGACAGCCCGTCAGGTGAAGTAATGACACTAACAGAGTTCGTCCACAATTTAAGGTATAGCCCTTGTATACAATCAATTAAGGTTGAAGAGACATTGACGCTCATTTGACGTTCCTTAATATTAATTGCTGAAGCGAAAGGAAAAACCCTCGCTTTTATTGACGATTCCACTCTGAACAGTCCGAGCTTCAGGAAACGTAAGTTATAGATATTGAAGAAATCAGTGTCCTTGAATATGACAGTTCTCAACATTTGTCCGATCATTTAGTGGTACTTCCTTCCCAGGAAGCAAAAATTGATCAAGTACTAACCCATATACGCTCATTACAACACGTTCGTTATCATGAAGAGGTCCACGGCCATCATACTCGCCTTGCAGTGCGTATTGACACCAGGCCTCGCAAGAGTAACATTACGAAGTGACTACACGGAAGAAGCAAGCCAACCCGTTCACTCTCTTCAAGCTCGACAACAGGACTCATCAGACAAAGGTGTCTTGGAGAATGAGGTGCGCGATGGCACCTGCAAAGATACCATGTTCTTCTTCCTCCGCGGAAGCACTCAACAGCCGAATATGGTGAGTAAACCCGGCTTGCAAAGCCTCGATGATATCTTTGCCTTGAGCGCATTGAGAACTAACAGCCCACCACAGGGATTGCAACCGGGCCCTCAACTCGCGGCGTACCTCCGCTCAACCCTAGGCGCGGACAAGATTGCTATTCAAGGCATTGAATACGCCGCAACGCTGCAAGACAACCTCTGCATCAACAACCAGCTGTGCCGGCCGCGCGAGGTCACCAGCGCGAGCACTCAGATCCGCGAGTACATGGACCAGTGCTCCGACTCTGATGTCGTCGTCGGCGGGTACAGCCAAGGCGCTGCGATGCTTTCCCGCGTGATTTCGGACAGGCTTGGATCGGAATACAAGGACCGGATCGTGGCCGCCGTGACATTTGGCAACACTATGCAGGTGTACAACAAGAACACGATACCCGGTCTGGCACCGGAAAGAGTGCAGATGTTTTGCAACAAATTTGACCCGGTCTGGTAAGTCTTGAATACACCCCAGCTTTACAAATAAAGGCATTGAGACGGTCTCGCTAACACCATGTGACCGCAGCCGCAACGGTCTACCCCTCGGCGCCGTGATGCCAGGCCACAGAGACTATCGCCCCTCCGCCAAACCCGCCGCCGAGTTTCTCGTGCAGAAGCTCGCCGCCGCCAAAGGCTGGACCACCGTCCCCATCGTCTCCGACATCGACCTCTCCCAATTCGCCGACGTGGGCTTCACCTTCCGCGAAATCTACCGCGGCGCGCCCGCCGGCAGCTCAACCTCCTTCAACGACGGCACAGAACTCGCCAAGCTGGACAGCGTGCGCGTCGTCTCCATCTTTGGCCGCGGCGCCGCGCGGGTCGACGCGCTCGGCGTCAAGATGGACGGGGGCCCCGACGGGGCGCAGGAGCACGGCGGTAGCGGCGGGAATTTCAAGGAGCTGACGCTGGAGGAGGGGGAGTACTGGATCATGACGGAGGTGTGCAACGGCCGGAAGAAGAAGAAGGACCGCGTTGGGTTCTTTCGGGCTTCGACTAGTCTGGGCCGGGTTCTGGAGGTTGGGTCGAGGACGAATGATCGGTGTGTTACGTTTGTGCCGGGTGAGGGCCGCTCGTTTGTGGGTATGCATGGAGAGTCTGGGGAGGAGGTGGACTCTGTTGGCTTTATTGAGTATCCTAAACTAGACTAGACAATGACGGTGGATTGAGTGATCAAGAAGGAGCATGGTGGTTGTGGAAGGACACCATGGGATGGTGCGCATGGCACGCGAGAGTCGGTGAAGCACTCTGAACGAATAACAGAACGAGTCTTCCCGGCAGAGATTCAACCGTATCATAAATATTGTGCCACCTATTTAAGGACGACAAGTCGGGTATGAGAGAGTTCCTGTATAGCACAGCGTGGTTCTGATGTGAGACTGTTTGACTTTCTGGGCCGCGCCAAAGATGTTACGAACCTCTTGATCAAGTATACTCACACCCTCTTTAAGCGAACTGGAAAAGTAAATCTCGCGTTCGCATCATCTATAGCGATATGTGCATACTGTTAGTAGTAGAGAGAGAGACAAGACTGAATAGGCTCGGAGACTCGCAGTTAGAAACATGTCCGTTTTCTCATTTCTTTACGAACAGGCCTCGAAGACCATATCGTCAATTCGTCCCATCTATAAGCACCGTCTATACATAGTATTCTTCTTCACCACCTTACCGCCTTTTCTTCTAAGCTCCATACTAGACTGCGACTTCCGTTTTTCCCAAATTTATGCCATTGCAAGACGCCCAAATCCAACACCGAAGGGCTGCGCGCTATATCAACGCTTACATGCATCGGCACTCTCCTGCTTGTTGTCGCAAGAGAGCATATTACAGACAAACGTTGAACTCCCAGGACTGTGACAGCGATGGTAGATCAACTGTCGTTTTCCAGGGCCATTCATATTGAACTTTCATCCACGCCAGGCTTGGATGTGTCATCGAGTAAAGAATAGACTGTCTTCTGCAAAAAGGCCTTAGTGGACATTTCAGCAGTCATGCTCCTCTACTTCTCTCGAACCTGATGAGACCGGCAAGGAAGCTGAAGACACATCCTAACTTCAGCGCAAGGCAATGGCGGCCTTAGAAAACCCGCTGGTGCTGATTAGAAGAAAGCCCAGTATCATCTGTGCGTACCATATCAGGTATTCAAAGCTGGAAATTGGGCAGTCTCACGCAAGGTTGAGTTCCCATTCTAGGTGAACAATGCATTGATCGGGTGAAAGACACAGATGAAATGTTGAAGCTGATCTGCATTGCAACACCTCGATTTTTTGACTCCAGGTTTATATCATCAACTTACTAATATCAAAACCTTCTCATCACTTTACTTATATACGTAACAGTATACACAGAAAGCACTCAGGAAGCATGGTACCTAAGGGTCCGCAGCGCTCCTCTTCGGTATCTCTTCCAGCCCAGGCCACTTATACTCCAGAGGTTGTGGAGGTCGACAAGGTCACCATTGCCGCAGCTCCTGAGCCACAGGTGCTAAAAAAGCCCATAAGAATCAAGTTCGTCAAGAAGGCCGCGAATCCTCTGATGACCCCGGTTCGGCCGAAGAAAAAGACGGTAGCGATAGGCCCTGATGCTTCTCCCAGATCCGATGCAGACAGTCCTGACGCCTTGGTTGTCCAGGCCCCTGACAACTGGGAGTCTACCGCAAAGGCGGTCTGAAAGCCCAGTGGGAGGCACGCTCTTGGGCCATGAATCCTCACGTCCATGACCGACTTTCTCTGCGGCGAAGAAGGCCATGATCAGCCGGCCGCCATGTGTGATCGCTCTGAAACGATATCCAATCAGTTTAGTCTGACGAAAGCTCGGTGTACTTATACCAGTTGACAGACCAGGCAGTCGACTTCTATACGGGAAGGACCATGCAGTCTCTCAGAGTACGAGGATGACGAAGGGGGATATCGTATGGGCACGCAAGAGGGCAGAAACTAAGACGTCGGACCTGGCTCGCTAGTTTCAGACGAGCGCTTCAATCCTGTGGGCGCGCTTCTAGCCATTTTCGAGAACGCCATTGACAGACCTTTCGGTAGTGGATGTGGACAAGAATCAATTAGTGTCCCGACACGATGCTAATACGATTACATTGCTAAACCCCTCAAATCCTCTCCCAAAGGCAGCCCGCATGCATTTCACCGAGAGCCAATCCCGATCCCAAGGTGCCCTAGAGCAAACTCCCGCAGAACCCATGCATCTGTTTTGAATGTGTCTCTGCTCATAAAGCTGTACGGCATACTGTGTTCTGCTTCATTCTCGCCACCTCCTAGTGCCTCTTTGAAGGTGAAGGCAAGGTGAGGTAGGGCGAACAATCATCCCTCATGATTATGACGCCTTGCCAGCAGTCTTCTCCTGCAACTTCTTGGGGTCGATGTGCTCGTCGCGATCCGCCTTGATGGCCTCCTCGCTGTCGGAGGCGAGCTCGGGCTTCCAGTGGCCCTTGCCCTGCTTCTGCTTGGAGAGGGAGTCCTGCTTGTGCTTCTCGTGCGTCTCGCTGTCGGTGTCTTTGAATGGGGAAGTGTCAGCTGACATCTCTCTCTAGCAACACAAAGGGAAGAGTTCGTTCATGGGTGGGAGGGGTGAATGGTTGGCAATGAAGGCGTCATCGAGGCTTGTGACTTCACTCCGAGCTCAATTGCCATGCATCCTTCTGCCGAGGAAAAAGGAAAGAAGGTAGAAAAGAGAATAAGCGATAGACTCACGTCCAGAAGACTCCTTCAGACCCTGCGTTCTCGTCGTGGAGATGCTGAAGCCCCGGCCGAGGGGAGCGGTCTGTCTACCGACGACGAAAGCGCCGCGGGCAATAGGACGGGCTGACAGAGCGATGCGGGATGCCATTGTTGCGTAGGTATTTGGTTTTTTGATCTGTGGTAGAGGAAGGGGAGGGGGTATCACGGTGTAGGTTTGGATTATTGTGCTGTGTTTGCAGGCAGGTTCAATTGAACGGAAGAGAATCAAGATTCGATGAGGTATTAAAGGGGGGAAAAGGGCCAAATGATCACGACAACTCGGCAAAAGAGCTCAACAAGTAGAGCAATAGCAATAACCTAGAAGCTACCAGCTAGACGAGAAAGCAGCCGCCAGAAGCATGCGGCGCGCCGCTTCGTTGACCCGGCCGTGACGTCACTATTCATTGCTCTCTCTCCCTCTCGATTAGTTACATAGTGACATGTCCTCAGGACCGAGCTTTTTCCTTCTCCAGCTGGTTGCAGCAGCGCAGCTACCCGAGTGGCTGGAAGCATCGCCATGTCCCCGCAAATTGCCCTTTTAGAACGGGAAGGAGAGAGTTGCAGAAGACGAGGGCGGGGGCATTGACCAACTGCCTGTCGACCATTTGCAAGCCCACAGTCACATCATCCAACGAAGGGGCCGTCCATCCATCATCGCCGCTCAGAGAGACCTTTCATACGCATCGTCATCGTCCTGGATTTTCTCGCCAGACTATGCTCAGATCTGGACCATGAATTCTCTCCCGTCAGCCTCATCACCACCTGTGTCCAGACCTCTGAGCCCAATCCCCCGTTGACCCCTGGCATAGACCCCCACCACGGAACCATACCCAGGACGTTCTTTCACTCTGGCAGTCCACGCTTCGTGCTTTGCTGCCCAGCTGCATCGTCATCATTGGCTTCCCCACCTCTCTCATCAAGACCAAGTCCATCACGTGACCATGACCCCCCCCCCCCCCCCCCCCCCCCCCCCCCCCCCCCCCCACCCCCCCCCCGCCCCCCCCCCCCCTCCCCCCACCCCCCCCCCCCTCCCCCCCCCCCCCTCCTTGCTCCCCCCCCCCCCCCCCCCAAACCCACCCCCCCCCCGGCCCCCCCCCCCCCCCCCCCCCCCCTTCTCTCTCTCACTCTCCAAGCCATGATGATGCTCGTCGTATCCGTCCACGCCATAGTGAACTCGCCGGGAGGATGAGCAATAGTAATAGTGGTTACAGTAATCTTCAAAAATTGATCAGGAAGCATCGAGCCGCAGGATACCTCACCTTCATCGCCCACCTGCAGCACTCCATCCCCGCCAAACACCCCCCCCCCCCCCCCCCCCCCCCCCCCCCCCCCCCCCCCACCCCCCCCCCCCCCCCCCCCCCCCCCCCCCCCACCCCCCCCCCCCCCCCCACCACCCCCCCCCCCCCCCCCCCCCCCCCCCCCCCCCCCACCCCCCCCCCCCCCCCCCCCCCTCCCCTCGCGGCACCATGCAGAAACTCAAGCGGCGGGTAAGCAAGGCACCTCAGGTCCCTCAGGTCCCCTTCAGGCCCAGAATGAAGCCGGGCCGCGACCCAGGCACCAGGCACGCCGCACACCAGACCTCCCCTTCAACTCCTCTTCCCCCCCTCCGTCGTCTCCTCGGCGAACAAAGGGGGTTTCGAGGCAGGTGTGGGCCGGGGATCTATGTCTGATTTACTGACCCCCATCTCACGCAGCTCGATAGCAGCCGTCTTACAGTATCCTGCAATATATCAGCAATGTTACGGTTCAAGAATGGGTAACATGCAGTAAGCGCGAGGACGGCATGTAGTCATCTCTTTATTCTAACAGTCGTGAGATGTATCTGATGCCAATGAGCAAGAGGTCAAATCCGGCTAGCAATAGTTGGTCCTTCACTAAAGGTCTACCTGATATTGTCACCATGATTTGGAACCTATCAGTAGCTGCTGGCTTGCAATGATGGTTGGTTGGCAGTCACTGAATGACACTCATAATGGACGGCTTTTGATGAACATATCGTATATTGCATTGCGCCTTGCTGGCTTCGCGCCACAAGATCAGACAGCTTGGTCTAATCCCATTCAACACCATTCGCATCTTGAGCGTTTCCTGTACAACCCCAAAAGGTATCCCGTTCTCCGACCCAGAAACCACAAGAGCCATTTATCGTCTCAAAACCGCTACCCAAGAAACACACAACTCTTCCGAGATGCTCGCGAAAGTGCCCAGACAAGGTATGACTCCACCACCACCAACCGTTTCCAGTGTCGCGAGGTGCTAGACCTGCACCGCCGGAACATCGACCAATAGTAGTAAGAATAGTCCATCCTCGAATAATGAAATGAGAGAAGAGGCGCAAGAAAGCAATAAAGGACTGCGCGATCCCCGTCCACATCGCTCAGCCAAACAAGGTAACAATGCAGAGGTTCGCCAGCAGGCCGCACCCAAAATTCATGACCAACTCCACCTTTCCCAAAAAGGTATTTCCCGGTACCGTTTCCAAGCTTTGGAGATTTGCCGCAAAACAATAGCAACGCATGTCTTTGCCCGCCACCGCCCATTTGGTATTTCCCATGTGAGCCCATAACAGAAACACCTGTTGCCCCCCCGCTCCGAATAAGTTGCTGAAAAGACACTCATTCTATATGTCGAGATAATCTTTTCCGGAATGACTTCGTGACCCGTCGAGCACCATGATGAGCAACAGAAATTTTGAATCATCTTGGAAAACAAAAAAGTCGTCCCGCTGTCCGTGAAAAAAGATGCCGAGAATTAATTATATCCGAGAACTCCGCCGTGGTGTGATTTCACACCGATGCATGTCGTGAAAATGCAAAACCATCCATGTGGAAAACGCCATTCGTGCAAGTCCAACCTCATCTTGCGAGGTAAGGACACCGAAAGATTTTTGTCGAGTTTTTTGTAGTCGAAAATACCCAAAAAAGGAAAAATGGTATCGATAACTTCTCATTCCGCGCCGTTGAGAAAAAGCCTCGAAGGGGGTTTTGCCGGTTAAACAGGGTATGTCGTTGAGGTTGTTTGTACAGGAGAGGAATGTCGTTTGAGCCAACAGATGACCAGACCACGTCGGCAGTCTAGCCAATACCTTGAGGTACCCAGCCCGCAAGAGAGAAAATCATCGATGCCATTGCCATTTTTCGTCTTCTTTTTTTTCGGTGCCCGCCAAGATGGCCGGTGTAAACAAGCCGAATGAGCAGAAATTTTACACATCAGCATGCATCGGCACAAAAGGCAAGGAGTACACCAAGCCCTCTGTCACGAGAGCGGGATGAACTCCTTACCATCTGCGACCCATGCCCTGCTGCATCCGGGCGGGGGAAACCGAAGGCGGCGGGCTCGACATGGTGATGCCGGTGGCAGGGTTGACGATGGGAATGGCATTGCGGGCGCGAGTAGCCGCAGGCTGATGGAGCTTCAGGCTAGACTGCTGGTACGCGGGAGGGATGAAGGCGGGAGAAGAAGAATTCAGCGAGAACCCAGGGGCGACGGTCTGGGGTTGCTGCGTCGGCGAGGACTCAGGAGAGTTACTGGCCAGAGACGAACGCTCAGAGGAGCTGTGGATGGAGTTCATCTGCAGCGGGCGACCAATATTAGTCACCGGATCATGAGAGACAGATCCAAGGCTCCGAGATACTTACGTCGCTGTCGGTCAACAGGCCAGGGCAGAATTCCATGTCGTCTTCGAGGTCGAAAGAGCGGCCGGCCTCAAACTTTGTGCGGAAAGCGTTGAGGGTAGCGGACTCGGTCAGCTCCTTCATGCTTCGTACGCCACGGAACTGCTTGTGCTGGTTCTGGGAGACGGAAAGACGGGGCGCTCTGCGATTGCGGCCGCCATGGTGGTTGTGGGAGGCACCGGGGACGGCGGGGGTGGGATGCGCCTGGTGGTGGTTAAACTGGTAGTATGAAGACATTATCTATGAATGTTTCGGAGGTAGATGCCGTGGTGATGTCGTGGTGGAAGGTCGGAGAAGGGGTGCCGTTTTTTGTTGGTTGGGAGGCAGTGTGGCGGATGTGCGGGTGGTCTTATGTGGGCGAGCCGAGCTGTGCGGTATTATTGCAGTTTGAAACACAAACAATGAAACCTGCCGAGTCGACGTTGTGCGAGTGGTAAAAATGTGTACGATGAATAGGTTCAAGGTAGAAGAGATCGTTGGAAGAAGCAATGCTTTTTCTTTTAGGTCGTTTGGTATGTATGATCGTTTGTGGAAGCGTTTTTGTGGTTTAGAGGTTTGATGATGTGGTGGGAGAAAAAAGGTACGTCTGGAAAGAGGGGGGAGAGAGATGTTGAAAAGTATCGGGAGGGAAGAATCCGGAGAAAGCGATGGTTTTGTTGGTTCGAGCAAGACGGTGGGAAGGGTGGGAGGACGGTGGAAAGGTGAGCGGGCAGGCGAGAGGAGCGACGAGGGCACGGAGGGCAAGGAGAGGACACTGGGAGGGAAGGGGGGGCGGCGGTGGACCCACAGCCTGCCCAATGGGAGATGATCAGAAGACAGTGTAACTGTGGTCAACACTGTGACTCCACTCCTTGACGCCATATGCGAGTTCGCCACCCTGTTTCCATTGGCTGGCAGATCTCAAACTATAGCGACCAGGGACTAGCGCGGCCTAGTGGGCTGGTGTAAATTTGGGGCGTGGCGCCGGCTGCCGTCAACCCTACCAGTGCGGCGGACAGTACATTGTCGGGGTGGGGCATGGGCTGGCCGTATTTGGATGGGGGAGACGATGAATGAGTGAGTGAGCGAGCGAGCGATGGAGTGAGTGAATGAGACTGGGGCACACACACCACATTCACACGGTACACCAGGGTTGGATGTTGAACTGAACGGTAAGGTGACTGCGCAGCGGGCGGGAAGGCAAGGCAAGATGTGGGAAGCGAAGAGTTACGTGTGCCCGGCAAGCCTGGGTGAACCTGGTCAGAGGGTTCGACAGTGAATGCGATGCGCTGGGGTCTGTATGGCTGGCGGGATCACTGAGAGTGTGGCCCTCCCACGCTCTCTCTCTCTCATCTTCACTCTCATTTTCACTTTTGGTCTCATTCTCACTCCCACTCCAAAGTTCAATACCCATCTCAGTCTGGCACACACTCACACATCTCACCGTCAGTCTCGGCAGACGGTAAACCTGCATCCCTCCTCCCCTTCCTCTTTCCCACCCCCCACCCGTCTTGGGCATTCCACGTCGGAACATGGACGCAGGGCAAGTTGATGCGTGGCATGCAGGTACCGAGTCTGCCTGTTGCAGGACGCACTGTGGGCCTTGTTTTTCTTCCATCACAGCCCTTTCACAGTGCTGACAGCCGCGAAGGAAACTCCTTCCCCAAAAAAAGCCTCCTGAGTCGGAGAATCGCCGGCGCCAGTCGCTTGTTCTTGTTTACAATTCTGATACCGCTTGCGGCCATGCGAGAGATTGGCTGCCCACACCTGTCATTCCAGAACCCCAGTGTGCGCGGTGATTGATGGGGAATCAACCAGGAGCACATCCAATATTGCTGCGGTACGAGAGAACAGAGCGAGATTAGAGATGAGACATGATACGGACGGTGGATGAGGATTGAGGAGGGCACAGCACTCCTCCCTCCCTCCCATCTTGCACCGTCTATCATCCACCCAGTGCCACCATCCACCGTCTCCCCTTCTCTCCCTGCCACTGTAGGTAGTCTGTCAGTCTGTCACTGTCGAATCCTCGAGTAGCCAGTAGTGTCGCCTTGATGTCTCTCCTCACTCTATGCCAGGGCTGTGTCGAGATGTCTCTCCTTTGTGATCAAGTGACCACTCTCGTCCACCTCTCCTCTTGCGGTCTTGAGGCTTGTCTTGCCTAGGGGACTCTCGGTCCTGGCCGTGGTCCGACCAACGGCGTGTGTCTTGCTCTCGTCCAGTCTTCGCCCGTACGCTTCGGCGTCCCTCTTCTTCTTCTTCTCCTTCTTCCTCATCCCTCCTGTTATCCGCAAAGCCATACACACTTCAGCACTCTCCGACCTCGTCCGGAATTCTAGGCGACGCTAAAGAACCCTCCGTGGCGGATGGCATTGTTTGTTATCGTTGTCTTCGAGGCAGTCCCGCCCAAAGTTCGGCAAACTTGTCAGTATGCTTTGCGCTGACGCGGTGCAATGTCTGACGATAGAGAGACCTTTGGGATGCACGCACGATGGCATCGTCTTTTTCGGTGGTTGCTTATGATCCATCGCATGCTCTACTGCTACCACAGGGGCATTAAACTGGCGTAGTCTGATGTTCAGAAACACGAGAAACGCAGCCTAGTGTTTCCCATTTCTTACGCTGCAATAAACACCGTACGGAGAATCCAACGGTAGGAGTCTGCTTCCCGGGTTCCTCATACTCGGCTGGCTTCATGTCGTCCGCCCACCCACAGTGTGTATTCCGATCAGAGCATCAAAAGGTCGACTGTCGATTGCGCCGCCTATCTGCTTCAGTCCAAAGTGAAACCCTCCCGACCCTCTCTGCTGGGTGGCCCTTGTCCGGCCGAATCCCAACCTTTGGGGGAGAGCCAGCCCTCAGAGGCTCAGCCAACCGAAGATGGGGGAAGAAGAGAGGAAGACATTAGAACGGACGGGACTGCGTGATGCATTGTGTGCACTGGGCAGTGGGCAGACTGAACGGTAGAGGACGAGCTGCAGCTGGAACAGTGCAACGCACCACCCGCCCACTCTCTCTTTTTCTCTTTCCCCATCTCCTTCGCTTCTTCCCACCTCACACACCAACCAAGGTCGGTCCACGGTACCACCAGCGGTCTGGAGTCTGCACATCTGCACGGCGGCAGCAAGACAAATGAATTATCGAGGCTTCGGTCGAGCATCTAGTGGAGGGTCAAGCATCCAGCTGCGGATACGTACCTTCCAGCGTGGGATTACCAGCCATGGACGACCCAAACAATGTCGCCGGCTGCTCACACTGTGATGTGGCAGAGTGCCAGAGACATTGCCCAAGGCCCCAAAGATCCTCCACTCTCATTGGGTACATACACATGGGAGGTGCTGTTGCACACTGCTGCAGGAGGTTAGAGCCCCGGGATGCATGAAGGACAACGAGGCAGTGGCCCTCTCCTGCTGCTGTAGAGAAGGCAAGGTACCTACGTGTTGGTGCCTGCCCTGCTTCCTGTGTAGGTACCTAACCTTCCATGCGAAAACAGACACAGAGAGAGAGAGACACACACACACACACACACAACACACACACGCACCCGTGGACGCACACACAGGGCTGTGAGCCAGTGACATGCAGACACTGGGTGGATCTTGGTGCCGCTATGACTGCTCGCTAGACCCCTGGTCTGGTGCAAAAGAAAAACAATAACCGAGAAATGACCATGGGCCCTTGACCTTCTGGCCTGGATTCGGAAACGTGGCGGCTGGCACGCTTGGAGGCGAATCAAGCGACAGACCGCACCCCGAATGTCACTTTTGTGGACCTGACAAATTAGGCACCAAGTCATGTAGTCCACAGTGTGCGACTGCCACTTCCGCAGGCTGCAGCCCACCTGCCGTGGAAGCTACCACGCTTCTCACCTTCCATCTCTCACACAGGGCACACCGCAACTGCCCACCTCACACACCAGAGCAGGGAAGGCAGCATCTTGGGTACGTACTTGGGCAGTCAGCACCTTCAAGGTTCTCTTTGCCTTCCATCTTGATGACCAACTTTTCCATAAGGTGGACAGTCCCTTCCCCATCACTAACAGCGGGGCAACCGTTTGCCAGTCCGTAACTGATCGATCTCACCGTCACACTCGCAGTCACTCACTCACTCACTCACCCCACTCACAACCTGCTCTTGCTCTCTCTCACCTCACTTAGTCCCGGCGCAGACGTTTACGCAGATCTCAGCAGAGGTCTCTCGCCCCATATCGTCACTCGTCACTCTCTGCCCCTCCCCCTCCTTCACCCCAGCATCATCCGTCAGTGGCCAAACCATGAACAGGCCATGATGGAAGCCCCAGACCTGTTTATCGATCCATGCCTCTTCTCTTTCCATTCTAGCACGTCTTGACTCTTGGCTTCAGTCATTCAGCAACTCCCCAGTGCCGTGCATGCGTACGGATGCTCCGTACGGATATCCTGCTCATGATCCGTCAGATCTTGCGACTGCCGGCCGATGGACTGCTGCTGCTGCTGCGGAGGCGCCAGGTCGAGATTAAGGTAAGCTTCGACATGCCATACGCATGGGAGCAACTCTATCGCCATCGATAATAGCTTCCAGCTGCGGCGGTGGGCGCCAAACGCCTTCTAGACCAACTCTCGACTGGGACCATACGTTCCACACCTTCTATCCGTACGGCGAAAGCGTGGGATTTGCTGTGGTACCCGACCTTGCACCAGCACTGCATGAAGTGGACGGGCCTCCTGCGCGACCACGCCAGCAGCGCCCCTGGGCCAGACCCTGGAACAAATGTGTCTCTCAAGTCCCTAGTCTCTGGCTCTCTGCTCCCCGGTTGTGGCACAGTACAGCTCCCTTGTCCACCCGCCGATGGCTGTGAAGACAGAAGGCAGAAGCGCTGAAGGCTGAAGCCGGCATTGACAAGTCGCCCCTGCTGCGGAGGCCAATCTGCCAGTCCAGTGGAGGTGAATCGGGGCAGGGCACGGCTGGGGCCCCTAGGGGTCTTGGGAGAGGGGCCTATAGGAGATGGGAAACCATCTTGAGACACCTGACGATGGCTTCGTGATCTCTACAGTGGAGCTCATAGGGGAATCCGAGTGACGAAAGGGGGCAGAATCGCATTCCCCTCGCCTTGTCACCCCACGTCCCAGTCCGTCACCTCGACAGTCAGCCCGGTCAACCAGTCAGTCACCCAGTCCTCCGATCAACCGTCATCCCGTCCGCTCGCTCTCTTGCCTTTGGCAGCGCCACGACAGTCACAGCAACGGTACGGATACATGGCCAGGGCTCATCTCAACAATGCAACGGGCATTTGTTCCGTTTGCCTACCGTTTCCATGCCATCCAATCGTGCCGGTCACCTAATGTCCCGCGCAATGGAACTGAGGACTGCTATTTTGGTCGCCCAGTCGGCTCTCTACGCTACGGATACTGGTTGGATGCTTGCACGCTGTGCAGAGAGGCCAGAGCCGGACGGTCCTGGGCTCAGGGTTCCTGGATTCGCCCGTGCCTGGGAAGGCCGAGGACCCTTTCAGCAGACTGCAGCAGACGTAGGAGCGGCATCCCCTCCTTTATCCAGGACTGGTTCCATATCGGGACAGGATTGACACTCAACCTCGATGTCCTTCTGCCGGGCTCTTGTTTTTCTTCCGAACGAGCTCACAGCACAATGCCTGCAGCAACGCAAGCCAACATTCGCCAGGTTGTCAGGGTCTACTATGTACATAGTGTAGACAACAAGTGAAGAAAAGCAACATGGTGGTGTGGGGACTCTGCCATTGAGTTCGACCTTCGCTGTCACACAGTTCCTGTTGACCCATCCAATCCACGCTCGATGCTCTACACCTACCAACGCCGAAGCTCCTCTGGAAGGAAGGATTCGATGGCCGGTTGGATAACCTTCTTCTGTTGCTCTTGGTCTCCAGCCTCTGGACCAACCTTCCAGCCTCACCAGCTGTGCCATCACCAATCAGTCCCCCGCTGGCTTCCAAACCCTACCATAACAACGCCCGCGTGAAACCAAAAGTGTGCGATGTGCATGGCGGCGGACGGCATGTTTGCGCCCATGTGAGGCAGCTGACGGAGGATCGGTGTTGTTCCTTTGAGTTGACAACTTACGTTGGTCGGCTCACCCCACGAGATCTTGCGGATTTGCTCTCTCGGTGAATAGGATCTAGCAGCCATGGGAAAGGCAAGGGAGGACACACGGACGATAGACCAACAACAAGGTTGAGGGGGGCATGGGAAGACATGGAAAAGCCCCTTCTTCACTGCCACACCGCCATTTTGGCATTCAAGATTGGGCCAGACTCGATCCAGATAGCGGATTGTGTGCATCGCTTGCAGCGGCGGCGGATTATTCCTCTCGCCTGTCTCACCACCTCACCTCGTTCCCCGGGTTCTACGCCAACCGTCTCAGTGGGGGGACGCTCCGACCACCTTGCCGCCACTCTCTCTCACCGTTCCCATCTTCCCCTCCCCCTCCTTTGTCCTTTGGGGGGTTGGAGAAGTACGAAGACGATAGCTGGGAGCTGAAGCTCACCTTGGGTTGGCGAGGCAAACACGCCTAGCTACCAGCTGAGCCACCTCGATGGACACCATTATCTACGGATACACTATCGACCTGGCTTGCAAAACATAGGGCTTCCTGCATCGACGGTAGAGCATCGAAAAAGCAAAAACAGAGAAGTAGGAATGCGAACAGTTCGGCGTCGCCAGCGACAGGGCCGGGACAGCAGTCGATGAGCTAAATCGACGCATCTGGCATGCCGGCGGCACTCAACTGGTGGTGCATGGCATGGCAGCCATGCCATACTGCCATGCCACCTCCAGCACAGCGGTGCCAATAGTGGTGGGGCAATCTGCCAAACGGCACAGTGCTTGCTTGGCGGTCTGCTGGTTCAGGGCTATCAGCAGGTATGGACGGCAGCGTGAGGTGACTGACTGGCTGGCCTGCTTGCTTGCTTGCTTTGGTCGAGGATGGGCTTTGCTGGCGAGCGAATCCCGCTCCGCTTCCATCCGATGCATCTCCGGCGCGGATGCAACAAGACGCAGCATCTCGCGGCGGTGTCTTGGACTCAAGTGGTTCGCTGTCGGGACTAGACAACATGCTGCCGCTGTAGGGCAGAGAAAGAAGTCTTCATTCTTTCCGCTATATGCGCTGTTCTTCACGCCACCCAGTCACCTTACCCGGCAGACGTCGAGGGTAAAGACAGTGTCTCCGGGTCCCGAGTGAATGGCATTGTTCAGATTCCCACTAAACAGAAACAGTCGAGGATCCGCCCCAAGGCCAAGGCTCCATTCTGTGCCCATGGGGGATCGAAGGAGAGAGTTGGCTACTCTGCGACGTCACCCCTCTCGGAGGGGCGCGGAACCTGGCGGCGTCGCCGACGATGAGTCTAGGGAATATCCGTATGCGATGCCTCTCTCTTTAGGGAAAAGTATCAAGCTCTCGGCTCGATAGTTTTCAAAAGTCTATCAAGTGACGACGGGAATCCACCAAGGAAACCGAACACTCACGGTACTTGAGCGATTGTCATATCCCTCTCCCCATGCGTTACGTGTGTATCTACCGTACAGTGTTGCCTCCTCTACCCGGTCTCCGTGCGGTGACGGGGCTTCCGTCCCACCCCGGCGCAGCACCCGCAATCCCATACCCGCGGATACAATCCGTCATGTGAAATCTCTCCCGCAACCAAGACCCAACCCTGTTGTACCGCAACCGCAATCCATTCCCGCGTACACCGCAAGCCTCGCAGCCCGCCCGGACGGTCGCACAAACATCCTTACCAGCAAGTGATTGGCCTGAGAGTTCTGAATACCTCTCTCCCCAAAGGACCCCCGGGTGGAGAGAGATACATAATGAGGGACGGGTTGCTGGAGAGGCACCTCCCGCAAATAGGCCTCGGTCTAGGCCTAGGAGCAGCGGCCGCCGCCACCCTCCTCGTCCTCGTCTCCCGAACCACCACCACCACTGCCACCTCCCCCTCCTACGCATCCGCCCTCCCGGCCCCGCGTCCGGCGAGGGACAGCCGCAAGACGGCCCGCTCGCCGAAGTGGACGACGACGCGGGACCCGGGCTGCGACGAGCGGCTGCCGTACCCGCCCGACGTGTTCCCCGGCGCGCGGGACGTCACGACGGCGTACGGGAACCTGCGGGTGTACGAGTTTGGGCCGGAGGCGGCGGAGGAGAGAGTCCTTTTGCTGCATGGTATCGGGACGCCTTGTCTTGCGTTGGGGGGTATTGCTGGGGAGTTTGTGGAGAGGGGGTGGAGGGTTATGACTTTTGGTGAGTCTTTTTTTATGATGGTGATGATGATTGTGAGAGGTGGTATATGTCATTGAGGATGTGTGATTGTGCTTATGAGCCGTGATATCCGGAATGTGAAGTGAAGAACATTGTTCAGCGTGTTGTTCAGCACTTGAATGATCTTGGCAGCTTGGGTCTTACTCTCGAAGCAAACCACTCATCTCACTCATCGGACACATTACACACCACACATCACACGTTATACAGAACCCCCACCCTCTCGCTCTCTCCCCCTTTCTCACCCCCTCCACGAGCATCCCCTAACTAACACCGCCAGACTTCTTCGGCCGCGGCTACTCCGACGCGCCCCTCGACCTCCCCTACGACGCCCGCCTCTACACCACGCAGATCCTCCTCGCGCTCGCCTCCTCCCCCTCGCCGGGCTGGACCGGCAACGACGCCTTCCACCTGCTGGGGTACTCCCTCGGCGGCGCCGTCGCCGCCGCCTTTTCCTCCACGCACCCGCACCTCGTGCGCTCGCTCAGCCTCGTCGCGCCGGGCGGGCTGGTGCGCAGCGGAGCGCACGTCGGGTGGCGGAGCCGGGTGCTGTATAACGCGGGGTGGATTCCGGAGTGGGTGAGGAGGTGGGTTGTCGGGCGGAGGTTGAGGCCTGTCAAGGTGGGGGGCGGGGTGGTCGGTGATGTGCCGGAGAAGGAGACTGTTGATGATGACGAGGCGGAGCAGAAGAAGGAGGAGTGGGATGAGCTCAGGCTCGTGGGCGGAGGACGGATCGGGGAGGTGGTCGGGTGGCAGCTTGCGCGGCACCCTGGGTTCGTGGCGAGTTACATGTCGACGATCCGGCACGCGCCGATATATGACCGCGGGGACGAGGAGTGGAGGGTTCTGGCGGAGGTGTTGGAGGCGAGGCGGAGCAGCTGTGGTGATGGTGGTGGTCGGGGATGGTCGTCGGAGCCCGGGCTGAGAAAGGGGCGGGTGCTCTTCCTGCTCGGCGAGGACGATGACATTGTCGTGCTCGGGGAGACGGTGTGGGATGCGGAGAGAGTGCTCGGAGAGGACGCGGTCGAGGTCGTTGTCCTCGGGGGCGGGCACGAGATTGCCATTACCAAGGGGAGGGAAATTGCGGGTGCCGTCGTTGCTGCGTGGGAGAGGAGGGCGTAGGGAGGGCGAGACGTGAGGTGACGGGAGAGTTTTTATTCTTTCCTGCTGGGGGGTTTTTACTGGACGTTTGTATGATGATGGAGGGAGGGATAGAGTTGTTGGCTTTTGGTGGGTAGAGCCTCAGAGTCATTGGTAGAGCCTCGTATAGATTATATGCTAGAACGGAATGGGGTAAGAGAATTTAGAACGGGTTGAGAGTCTGAGAGGAGGAGGAGGAGGAGATTGATGGAGCTGTGTCAAGTAGAATTCAGGCGAAAATCAGTTACACGTTCTGGGACAGTTCGTTCATCTGTCACTTGCTTGGGTTTGTTTGCATGTCTGTTCTATCTCATGGAGAAGGTGGTCAGAGAAGACTACTGCCCCAGGGAGAAGCATCACAATGAAAAGGCCCGGCGAACCAATTTCTAAAATGGACTTTTGTTACTATGCCTTGTCTTTTACGTTTCCCCAAATGCACGAAGCTGGACCAAAGGTTCTAAGTGAGAACAAGGAGCAAGTGATTGACGACTTGAGCTGTAAATGCTTGCCCTTGAGTCGGACTCTAGTCGTGGACTAAGACCAACTCTTCCAAC